CTTGGGCGGGCCGCTGGCTCCCCGCCGCCCTCCCTCCCGTCGGTGCGGGGCGCCGGCTTCACCTGCCTTCCCCTTTGCGAGACCCTGCGAAGCCCCTGCGCTTTGCAAGACCCCGTTGTGGCCTCTTTTTTTAACTTATTTTATTTTCATATTAGTTCAATATTTTGACACATTGACAGCACACGCGATATTTTCACGGGTTCTTCTGCGGTCTTAGTACCTAACTACTCTTGCAAGTTACGCAGTGCTGTGATTCACTGAAATACTTTGGACTTGGAAGAAGCTGTCGTATTACCAGACTTTAAAAAAAAAAAACCCAAAACAAAACACGATGTTAACTTGTTAGCAATCTGCCTGTAATCTTACTTGCCCAGCAATGCTCTTTGCTCGCATTATTTTTAAAGCACAGCATACAGACGCCTCCCAAAGCCCTGTCATGGGTCACTTAACTTTTTATGTGTTTTTAAGATTTAATTTGAGCCTACTCGCAATGCAGGTGTATTTGGCATGTCTTCTGTTACAAATCTGTAAATCAGGTGCTTGGAGAATACTGTTCTGCTGTGGTCTGTTCACTCATTAAAAAAAAAAAAACAACAAAAAACCCACAAGAATTTTCATAAATGGCTTTTGAATACATTTTGATAACACAAGCCAATTTGATAACATACATTACTTGTAGGAACAAATATTTACATATTACATGTTATTCTCCAAAACCAGGAGATCATCTTTGTCAAATACCTGTGTTCAATTTGCTGGATTAAGGTGTGGTTACTTTCCAGTTCATGAGAATACCTAACAATATTTTTTCTTCCTTCTCTTCCCTTGCTCCCTTAAACATATACTGTAAATAAGATTAGAGTGTCTCTTATGAGAGAATTCCTAGATCAAGGTATCATCTGTTTAGCAAATTCAATACAGTTTATTTTTCCTGCTGGCAGGTATGATGGGAAGAATAACAATAATTTATACTTGTTGAGTGAGACTCATTATGTTGGTTATGTATTTCAACAAATAAAGCCTCTATATTTCTGTATTTCCTCACCCTACAGTTTTGTTTTCTTTTCCTGTTTGTAAAATTAAAAGCTTGCATAGGAGAAAGATCTGCAACCGCCTGAAGCATTGTAAAGAAAACAACCAGCAAAACCCAGTCAAAACCCCCACAACCCTTAGCTAGGCAAGAACACTTAGCAAGAACAAAGCAAGAACACAGGAACTTTGGATGCGTAGGGAATAAAATGTGTGCGATACAGTTTGTATAGACCTGGTTTAATTAGGACACCCATATGGGAAAACGGTGTTCTTGGGGATTTTAATGCTGTAGCAAGAATGCCAGGATGAGTTTTTTCTGGCTTGTAGTGAACAAATGAATGGCAATATGTTACCATCTTTTTTTGATGGTTAAAAAAATGAATGGTCAAAATTAAATGATGATGGCTCAAAAAGAGAAATTCTAATGCTATCTTCTAATGTTATTAGAAGTTTTCCCATAGAATGGAGGGATTTTTTTTAGAATTTATTTCCACAAAAATTTTAACTGAGAAATGTGCATCTCACTCGCTTTTGCCGTAGGCTACATGCCCCCTGTTCCTGATGGTACTTATTTTATGCATTGTTTCAGGAAATGGTACAGTTGTTGCTGTGCAGCTGGATGTTGCTGAATAGCATTTCTATGAGCTTGCTGTTCAATCTGTCTGTTGTTCAGAATGGCAAAGAACCCTAACTTTCAGGAAGTTGGTCATCTGCCTACAGGCTACGTCCACTGTAGATCTTCAGACAGCTTTATTGGTGAGTGGGCCAATGTATTTTCCTGAGATTTTAACTTAAGGGTTTAGGTGTATGCCATTTTAACCAGGTGGTATCAAGTGCATTGATACGTGTTTTATATGTGTGTTAATAAACAATCTGTATTTGCTGTATTGTTCTTTGTACCTAGCGAAACTTATTCCTGCTCTTCTATCAGAGGAATACGTCTTGAGCAGAATGTAAAATGGTAGCACTACAGCACTTAAGTAATGGGAGTGTGTTTGCAGATGAGCAGTGCATAACTTTCTATATGCTTTAAGTCAAAACACTTTCGGTACTAATTGTTTAGAATGCAGTCATTGAATGGTGTGGTTATTTACCATTAACCAGGGTTAACATCTGCTTTTCTTTTAATCCTTTTGCAACAGAAGGGTTGGAAATGAGACTTAAAAGTTCTGTGAATTTAATTTACTTGGTCTTTCATATTCTATATCTATATCGTATTAGAACATGTATTTTTTTCCTTTTCTGTTACAATTTTCACTCATAGTCAACTTTTTTATTGTTATTTAGAAGTACAAAGGAGCTTCTGTAGCGAGGGTTCTGACAGAATCAAAGTACTTTCTTGAGTTATACTCTGCATATGTTGAAATATTTACTAAAAATTCCTATTTCCTGAGATGTTAGCTTATTGTACCAGAACTTAGGAGAACAAAATATTTTTGTATAAAAAGACATGCATATCCATTTAAAAAACCATATGGTTTGTAACAATGGTATGTTTGTACAGTAGCCTTACTGTCACACCTACCATGTTCTGTGACTCTGTGGTAATAGAAATTGTAATTAAAATAATATTTTGCTGACATTTACTTAAAGCATAGCAAAATATTTTATGAAGTAATGAATTACAAAAAATTGAAGTACTACTCAAATCCTTTCCAATCAACTGAGAACCAATTCCTGTTTCTAGATAAAATGGCAGTGTAAGAGAATTCTATTTAAGTAAATTCCCTTTGTGTAATTCTGACAAAACCTGTATTATCTTGATAGGTACAAACTAGATGATGAAGGAATTAAGTGTTTCAAGGGTATGAAATAATTTGCTCAGTGTTTATAATCCAGACGTATTTAATAAAACTTTTAATTCTAGCAATAGTCCGTTTACTTGCATTTATTTCTAAAGTTTCAATAGGGTTATCTGTTACGTAAATATTTTTCACTCATTTTATATGAAAAAAAAAATCCAAATTATTCATGAATAATTTCTTAAATTCCTTTTTCTGTGCCTGGTATAAAAACAACTCTTCCATGTTTCATTGAAACAGCATTGCCTTTCAGAGGACTCTTTAGTCACTATCTTTAGTGATAGCCCAGGTGAGGGGGGGAAGTGACTTAGTACCAGTCTTTATTGCAGCTCTGGTTTGAGAGTTGTTTAGTAAAGATGTCATAGGGGTTTTGCTGTTGTTGCTGCATTTTTCAGATGACGTTTTTGTATGCCAGAACATGTTACAGATTACTTACGAAAAAGAAATATAGCAGGCTGAAGACTGGGGGGGGGTGGTTGTTGTTTTTCTAGCCGTGACACATATTGTGTAATACTGCATATTGCCTTATGTAATAAGTACGAGGCCGTGTTTTTCACATGCTCGCTGTTGAAGGAGGCCACCAAGAAGCGTGTCTTCTGGTGGTGTCTTGGACAGAAGTGATTTGTAGGCCTTCTGACTTAGCAGATGCCTTTTGAGACAGTTTTAATGGCACCTCAAACTTGCTGAGAAGACTGTTTAGTTTTGTTTATTTCTGTGGCACGAACAAAGCTGCAGCAGCTGACTGCTGAAGCAGTTAATTAGCTCTGAATACCTCCTGGAAATAGGTTATGGTGCTGACAAGAGGCTAGTAAATGGCTTGGCCTTTTATTCTGAAGTCGGTTAAATGTTGTTCTTTGACCGCCAGGAAGACTAAACACCTGTATTCTCTGAAAGGGGTGACAGTCATTTGATGACAGAAGATGCCAGAGGGATCTTCAGGAAGGGTTTTGCCAAGCTCCCGGCAGCATCCATCTTTTTTTATCATAAATAATACTTTGAGTTGCAACTAGGAAAATACATGTTTAGCTATGCAGGGAAGTTGAGAGCTCATAGCAGCTCGCCACAACTAAAGCAGTATATTACTTTTTACTTCCTCAAACAAGAAATGTGCAGATCCCTTCAAGAGTCGACTGAATTTGCACCATTATTAGTCCAGTCTGGGAAGGCAGGACTGCTCTCACTGTGCTGCTTTTTATGGAAAATCCACAACACATATGAAACTTGCATTGGAAATGCATAGTAGTAAACAGATAAATGAGTTTGAGTGCTACTTCAATATACTAGTGTTACCCACAGAAAGCGTACAAGGCATGTACATAGTTTTCATAAAGTTGCCAGTTTCCAACACTTGGTGTCATTCAGACATCTGAAAGGCTTGTCAGCTAGAGGCTTGTAGCCATCGTTTTGAGTCCTGTATTCCCCGTGATCAGAATGTTCTTGTTTGAAATTGGCAATTTAGAATAGTACATTGTACCAGCAATTTGGAGAGCGTTAAACATCCAAACAAATTTGTCTTGCAGCTTACACACAGGGATTTCTAAATTTCTACTTTCATCGCTTGCTGTAGTTCAGGGTCTTGACATTCGTAAGGACTGGCATCATCGGCTTATTAGCAAGTGTCCCCAGTTCAGACTTTGCCCTCTTCTATACCCTGATTCTTGTTTAGAGAGAGGTTAATGTACCCTTCAGAGGGAAGTGTGCTTTTGATTTATATATTTATTTAACCTGAAATGGAAACAATTTTCCCTTGAACTTTTCATTCTGTTGGCACATGACAACATCCACAGCTACTGGAAGCAAAGTTATTGTGCAGCTGTTGGCATTCCCTTCTCTTTACCACTTTTACAGTCTCTCAGTTTTTATGCAGACAGTACCTGTTCTGATTTTTTAGAGATAAGAGTGGATCAAGGAAAGAAAGAAATAGTATGTAGAAAAAATGGAATTAAAAATAATTTTAAAACCAAAATGTGCCTGTACTTGTACATGTATGAAGTATCATAAATGAACTTCCCTAATTAATCAAAATTGGAACTAGCAGAAAAGAGATAGTACAGAGTTGCTTGATAATGTGCGTGTAACTCGCACGTAGCTGGGTTGCCTGACCGTGGTGAATGAAGATTAACAACAGCAACTATAGACTTCTAAGGTACAGAAGTCTTGAAGGAGTACTGAGGCTTGAGATTTGCAGCTGAGTAACAATACATCCTTTTGTGTGCTCCTTTGGTGTAATAAAAGGTTTTATATTTTGAGGGCATTTCAATTTTACCATTGTCTATAAACTCTCAAATAATTATGTTGTGATAAATATTATTGCTAGTATAAGTAGATGCAACTGCACTGATGAGAGTTAAGTTAATCTTGCTTGATACAAAGTAAATGTTACTGGAAGTGTGTGTTGCATAAATCTGTTCAGTGCAGAGTTGTCTTAGCTAATTGTAAATTAACCAGTGCGAATGGAAGAAACGGTCTGTTGTTATGAAAAACCATAAAAATAAATTTACTCTCATGTCAGGATAGAAGAATGACTGCGCAGTATTCTGTGTTCCCATGGTTAGGCTGCCTCCAGTATCTCGGCCGGTATTGCTGGCTTCACGCTGTAATGGCTACAAGGGCACACAGCTTCCAATTCAAGTAGCAGAGACAGCCTGAGGAAAGCTGGGGGTTTGTTCCCATTTGTGCTGCGATCTGTATTATCAGTTTAGTATGCTGTATTTTTCTCAAATCTTATTTTCTATTTCTATCACTTTTTCTAGTTTTGTTTTAAGTTCCACGGGACTGTGTTTCTACAGTATCTTCGTTTTGGGTTAAGCGTTTCCAGGTGTTACAGAAGTGCAAATAATATTTAACGCCAGATGCATGTGTTTTCTTTGTTGAGGTAGAAATGACTGGAAACAGATGCATATTTTCTCATAATACTTTGAAAATATAGCTTAAAAATGCATTTATGTCATGAATATTTCACTTGAAAAATTAATGTTAGCTGTGTGCAGGGTATGTCCTTGTCCTGGTTTTGGCTGGGATAGAGTTAATTTTCTTCCTAGGAGCTGGTACAGTGCTGTGTTTTGGATTTAGTATGAGAATAATGCTGATAACACAGCGATGTTTTAGTTGTTGCTAAGCAGTGCTTACACTGGTCAAGGACTTTCCAGCTTCCCATGCTCTACCGACTGAGAAGGCTGGAGGGGCACAAGAAGCTGGGAGGGGGCACAGCCAGGACAGCTGACCCAAACTGGCCAAAGGGCTATTCCATACCGTGTGACGTCATGCTCAGTACATAAACTGGGGGAAAGCTGGCCGGGGGGCCGCTGCTCGGGGACTGGCTGGGCATCAGTCGGCAGGTGGTGAGGAATTGCATTGTGCATCACTTGCTTTGTATATTCTTCTTCTTATTACTATTATTATTAGGATTATATTCTATTTCAATTATTAAACTGTTTTTATCTCAACCCACGAGTTTTCTCACTTTTACTCTTCCGCTCCCCCATCCCACCAGGGTGGGGAGAGTGAGCGACCAGCTGCGTGGTGCTGAGTTGCTGGCTGAGGTTAAACCACGACAGGCCTCATTTTCCTGCTTCTTGTGGTACACCATCTTTCTTCGGTGCTAAGTATGTGCCCATTTTGAAAAGTGGCTAGTCATTGGAGTACAGAAGGTGTGTCTGAAAATATGGATGGTTGTTATCTGAAACAGCCAACCTCTTTTTATTCAAAAGTAAACCGAGGTGTAACAATAGAAGCTGATTTAAAACCTAAATTCTTCTGTGGATGCTCTTCCCACTGTGACTACAGCAAGCCTCTGTTGCTGAAATAAACCAAAACCAACAAAACTAAAACCTCTTGTAAATTAAGAAGTAAGAAAATAATTCCATAGTAGATATGATTAATGCATTAATCGATATTGTATGTTAGTGGACAGTCTCCTACTGTTATTACTGAGAGGTATTAGGGGGTTTATTTTCTTACATATATGAGGGAACATGAAGGCAACAAGAAAACTGAGTGGAAAGGCTAAGAAAATTGAATTGTACATTGTAAAGCTTTGCTCCTTGACAGACTTCATCTGTTATTTATTAAAAGTTATCCCGATTGTTTATTTTCACCCAGTTCTGGAAAGTTGATTGAAATTCTGCAAACACACTGATTTTAGTAGAGACTTGGGAGCTAAGACTATGCTTAATTGGTCAAATTATTTATTTCTTTATAATTTATGTGCATTTAATTCAGATAAATTTGCTTTCTAATGGTAACTTTAATTAAATTTGTTTAATTTTTAATTCCTTTTGTTGGAAGCTTTTTATTTAAAGTAAATGGATTGACAGAACAACAAGGTGACGGAATTCTCTGAAATATTTTCTGTCGGCTAGAATTGTTGATGCAAGCTACATCGAGTCCTGTTGTAAATGAACTTTAATAGAAAACCTCTTGGTTTCATTTTTCCTGTAATATATGGTAACTTACACTAGTCGCTTTTTTCATAATCGCAGCTTGATCTTTGCCATTTTTTAATATTTCTGCCCTTTATAATACTGGTTGTTTTCTTTTTCCCTTTAGGCTACCAATATCACCATCCCTCCAAGATGAGTAACAGCCATCCGCTTCGTCCTTACACAGCTGTGGGTGAGATTGACCACGTTCACATTCTGTCAGAGCATATTGGTGCTCTAATGAACGGGGAAGAATATAGTGATGTTACCTTTATTGTAGAAAAGAAACGTTTTCCGGCACACAGAGTGATCCTGGCTGCTAGATGCCATTATTTCAGGTGAAGTATAGCTTTTTGTCAGGCTCACGGGAAATTTTCATGCAGATAAGATAAACAGTGTTTCTCTATGAACTTTTCAGGGTGTAATCATCTGTCCCATGAGTGTGACCTTTTCTGTGTGAATGTTTCCCAGCACATCAAATCATTGTGTCCAAATATAAAAAGATAAATACCATGTCATGATGTTATTCTTTTGACCTTCATTAAATTGGATTTTGAAGGTAGTTTCACAAGTTCAAGAGAAAGATAACTTCAGAACAGGAAAGTTCTGCTGTAAAATTGTTTTGATTTCTCAGAGTATGGATGGTGTGCTTCTATGGAATATACTCAGTTAGGAAGCTTAATTTTGGCACATTGGAATTGACTATTTTTAAAAAGGTCTGGCTGATACAGGTTAGAATATGTATTTTAAAACGAGGGATAATACTAATTCAGCTTTTTTAAGAGCTGGGCGTTTTTCACTCTAAATGTAATTAATAGAACTTCCTGATAATCTTCTTCCAGTTAATTTTGTCAGAGGGATAAGCTAATAGCTAAACTAAAGCGTGAATGCAATTGTGTTCAAACTGTCTGTCGTATTTTAAAAAATAATTGTGAGTACTTTGATTTTTTTTCTCAAGATTCAGGATTTCATTGGAGTTGCTGTTTGCTTGGTTTAGAGTAAGGAATAGAGGATCAAGAATCCTGAGATTTGCTAATCTGCCATTGCTATTACAGTGACAAACTATTTGTTTCACTTGCTTTCTGAAAATTTTTCATTTTTTTTCTTTCTTACTGATAGCACTATATTTAAAAAAAAAAGATATGAGAAACATATCTCAACTTCTGCTTCGCAAGCTATTGTTCAAAGTGGAGATGGAGCAATTGTGTAGGATGAAAACATGATGCATGAGCATATTATTCTTGTGCAGCTGCTTTCAGAGCAGAGCTGCACTTTAAATGCCAAGTATAAGGGTTTTTCTTTTGTAGATTCTTAAACCGTATCCTCTTTGTATTCCCCTTGCTGTAAAGAGTCATTTATTCCTTTCTCTTTCTACTTTTTGCCTGGTTTTTATCAGGATATAAATTTCTCAAATTTTATCTTCCTTATAGAGCATTATTGTATGGCGGAATGAGAGAATCTCAGCCTGAAGCAGAAATTCCTCTTCAGGACACCACTGCGGAAGCATTTACCATGCTGTTGAAATATATTTACACTGGTCGTGCTACACTACGAGATGAGAAAGAGGAGGTTCTCCTAGACTTCCTAAGCCTAGCACATAAATATGGGTTCCCAGAACTGGAGGATTCCACGTCTGAGTATCTTTGCACAATACTTAATATTCAGAATGTCTGTATGACATTTGATGTTGCCAGTCTTTATTCCCTTCCCAAATTAACTTGTATGTGCTGTATGTTCATGGATAGAAATGCCCAAGAGGTGCTCTCCAGCGAAGGCTTCCTATCGCTTTCTAAGGTATATCTTTTGTTTGCACTTTTTTCCCCAGGAATGTTAATGTCAATCTGTATACATCTGCATCATAAAATACTAATGGGGGCACCAAATACAAGTTTATATGTTAGTTAACAGGTATCATTTTATACTAGTGAAACTGTGACAGTTGGAAACGTTCAAACCAAGCCGAACTGAAAATCCTGGTGATCTGTTCTGAATTTTTTAGGTATTTAATTTTGACCAGTCAGTATACCTAAATATAGTAAATCTGATGGAGTATTCTAAAAGGTGGGAGCAGGCAATCTGATCTTAATTTGTCTTTTTTCATCTGTTCTTGAAATAATATAATTTGGCTTCTGAATGCTGCCCAGGGGATATAAAGTAAAGATTTGAAGACAGCAGAAGATACTCCATTCTATTAATTTCTTGATATAGGCTGCCTTAGTGATGGGTGACTTTCTACTGTGTAAGCTAAAGCATTCTGGAGATTGCTGTGATTTACATTGCTGATTGTCATCATGTTCTGAAATTGCATAATATGGTGGTGTTGTAGGGTGGTTTGGGTTTTTTTGTGTGTTGGTTTTGTTGTTGTTGTTAGATGCATAAATATTTGTGCCTGAGTCAGGCTGTTCTATGACACTGAAATTTTCCACTTACTTTGGCGTGGTCTTTGAGCTGGACATAATAGTGGTAGAGTGTTTTCAAGTGATGTTCACATGAAGCATCTTGAATGAATGATGGTTTAATTATTTTTTCTTAAAAAGTGTTTTTAGTGGAAAAGCTGTGATGGGTCTATTCCTTGAATAAGTACAAGACACTCTGCTCCGCTGACTAACTTACTAGTTGTGTAGGGGAAAAAATGTTTTTTTCTCTCTGCTGTACTCTGTCATGTGCAGTTTGTTAAATCTGAGCTCTGAGAGCATATTATTAATAAAGAAGTTGGCAAACGTCATTCATCATGAAGTGCATACTTTATGACATCTTCGGCATAGCCAATTCTGTTATATGTGAGAGATTTATCCTTTTCTTAGGCGAACTCCTAAGTATTCTGCTAGCTAAGTGGAAACCAAAAAGTTGTTCAATTCTTTTTGTTCTCATTTTGCATGAGTGTGTCTTCTGCATGAATAAGAGCCACTGAAGTTTTTACCTGCTGATTCTAAGTTGGTACCAAAAGAGAGAGAGAAGCGGGGGGGGAAATCCCAAATAGTTAGAAATGGTTTAAAAAGGTGGTTCCAAGCCACACTTTATTTTTCTCATCAGTGTTCTTATACCAGCCTAAGTTTAAAGGAATGCTCTGAACTGTACTACCAAATCCCCAAATCACTTCTTATATTCCAAAGTAAATTTGAAGTACTAACTGGAATTAAGTTGATTTGAATAGTTCTCCACATTTCAATTCTGACTTATTTCTCCTAGTGGGTTTGTAATATTACCTATTATTTACATGATGGATTCTATAATTTTTGCATAAGTAACTAAAATAAGCTACAGTTTCAGGTAGTCACTTCTTTGGAGATTATTTTTAATAACTACAAGTTAAAATACCCATTAATTTTTGCCTTATTTTAATTTCCTTTTTTTTTCCTTTTTTTTTTTTTTTAATTTGTTTATTTGGGGTTGTTTTTGTTTTTCTTTTCCAGGATGCTCTTCTAAGTATTGTACTGAGGGACTCATTTGCAGCTCCTGAGAAGGACATTTTCCAAGCTTTGATGAATTGGTGTAAACATAACCCCAAGGAAAACCATGCTGAAATCATGCAAGCAGTACGTTTGCCACTAATGAGTCTAACAGAACTACTAAATGTTGTAAGACCTTCTGGATTGTTGTCACCTGATGCCATCCTAGATGCCATTAAGATTCGTTCTGAGAGTCGGGACATGGACCTCAACTACAGGGGCATGTTAAGTAAGCGTCAGGTTTTTGTTTGTTTTTTTTTCTCATTTAGTGGCTATAGTTGTCTGGAGGATATGGTTAATTTGTGCTTTGAGGTTTTTATCTATTATTATGTGTTTTAAAAGGCTTACATAATGAAATACCTTGTTATGTACTGTTCTTGCCATTTCTATTCCTCAAATAGTATTAGTCAACATATTTTCTTATTTTGCATCTCAGATATTGCTCAAACATGAATGTTGTAATAAGAGTGAATTTTCCTAGAGGAAGTGCTATATTAATAGAAAAAGTTTTGCAAAAACATTAAAAATAAAAATGCATTGACTGTGGGATATATGCTATTTAAATGGTTTTATGTTGATGGTGACTTGTTTTCTACTTGATGAAGATTTTCATCTTTTCTCTACTACTTTTGATTTTTCTCTTACTCTTTATATGCTTGCCCAAATAGTATAAACAAGTCTTCCAAAATTGTATTAATGGAAGCCTAAAAAGTGTGAGAAGCCTTTTGTTTGACTTTGTCTGTGCTCTCTGTTAATGAAACAAGAATATCTAACACTGAGCTTTAGAAAGATATTGTTAGTTTGCTATCTAATGTGTGATTTATAGAGAGTATTTGTCCCACAGCAAAGAATAAAGTTAAATGTTTTTTGAGAGCCTGCACTGTAGTCTGTCAGTCATGCGTGATGAGCCCTAGAAATAACTGCTTCCTCAGAACTGCATCTCCCCTTTGTTCTCTCTTAGAAGTTACAGATATTAATGTTTAAACGTATGTGTTTAATATTAGGATATCGTAAAAGTCTTATCGTGCAAGACATTCTGTTGACAGTGCAGTAGATAAATTTGAAAAAGTTAAATGGTGTTTTCTGACTTCTTTTTCTGCATATTTATGTCTCAATAATAACATGCTCCTAATCTCAAAATTTCTAGCTTTGTCAAAATCGCAGCTTTTTAGAGAATTGAATTTCTGTGTTGTTTTAGTACTAGTTCAGGCTCTTGGGATTTTTTTCTGTTTGTGGAAACATTGATGACCCCTTGCCATGTCATAGTTGTGCATTTGACGTTTTCATGTAGTAGTACTACAATACAGTTAAAATTTTATCACTTCAAGTTCTGTTCTTTAAATGTTAAACTTAACACCCTGTTAAAATTCATACTTCTCTTGCCAACCTGCCTGAAGAGTTCAGGGGCAGCTTTTCATCATTTAGCTTTCAGATCGTGTTTTATAGGGTCTCTCCTCAAACAAGACTGTTAACGATGTCTTTTTAATAGGGTGGTTCATCAATGTATTGTTTTGTAGTTGGACTTAGGGACCATTATTCCCAGTTATCTTGATGGAAGATCTGTTCCTAGGATGTAACAGGTTTATTACTGTGAAATGGTGTGATAAAAAACTTGCTTTACCGTCTTGGTTCAAAGCCCAGGTAGCCAAAAGTTTCCTATTTCACTCAGGTTCGTTTAGCTTTGCAGAGTACTGGAAGCTTGTATAGCTATCAAAATAGCTTGTAGAGCTATAACACTGTATATACCACTCTGCAAGTTCATGATGCATCCACATCTTGAACATTTTATGTGATTTTTAGTTTCCTTGCACTTCAGACAAAAAAACCCAAACAGTTGAAAGTAGAACAAAAATTGGGAAAGAAAGGGCAAAAAAATTATTAGAGGTATGGTGAGAGGTTGATCACAAGGAGAGACTAAATAGACCAAAACTTTAAAACCAGGAGGAAAGTGATGACTGGATGAGGAAGGTGCAATAGAATTCTGTAAAATCGTGAAGGGGACTGCGAATATAGATACTACATACTAGTAAATTACCACTATTTATTATTACCATAAAAGTCTCAGGGGGCATCAAATGAAGTGGGAAGAAACAAAATTTCTAAAATGCCTCTCTCTTTGAACTTTTGTTTTTCCTCGAGCATGTGTTTGTGGCCAGGAAAGGATACTGGCAATAAGTCTTTGTTCTGACCTAATACAGTTGATGTTCAGAACATCTAATTTGCAGTATGAGTGTGTAAAAATTAAGCAATGATTTCTTCCTCTTCTTAGTACCAGGGGAAAATATTGCAACAATGAAGTATGGAGCGCAGGTTGTAAAAGGGGAGCTGAAGTCTGCTTTATTAGATGGGGATACTCAGAACTATGACTTGGATCATGGCTTCTCTCGACACCCGATCGATGATGACTGCCGTTCTGGAATTGAAATTAAACTAGGCCAGCCGTCAATAATCAACCACGTACGAATACTCCTGTGGGACAGAGATAGTCGGTAGGTGCCAAGTTGACATAAAAAGGGAAGGTAATGCATTTTGTACTGGTGGTAATATATCAATGCGAAATACTCATTAAATATTTTATAGAAAAAGCATGATACAGTGTTGGAGATGACAATGACAAGTTTTATTTGAAAAAACCCTGTTTTTTTTTAAATGCAGTTTTGGTTGCTTACACACCAGACCATATTTTGTGATACTAAACTGCCTCATAATATTTCAATGTATTTTTTGTGCCTTCATTAAATGGTTTATATTACTAATGAAAGTGTACGTAATTTAAATTGTTTTGTTTTCTATTTGCCACTTGGTTTTCAACTGCTTTTATTTCAGTTTGAAAAACAATATTCTAGTTCTTTTGCAGAAACCATATTTTTTACATATTTACATTCCAAACATTGAAGGAATGTTTGTTCAGACTTTTTCAATATATCAAAACTGTTAAGAAATAACACACTTTGACAATAATTCAGAGATAGTAAAATTTGTTTAGAATGTGAAATACTGACTAACTACAGTAGTTATTAGAAGTCACTTCATGGTGAGACTGGTGAAGTATGAACTATCATGGATGCCTTAGCCAATTTATGCTCAGCTACATTAGATTGTTATGGAATGCATGAAAGATCAAATTATGCATATTTGAACAACTGAGTGGCTGCTTAAGTAGGAAGATTGCAAGGTTCTTTTTATCTTGACAAATTGAGTATATTAATTTTAAAACTTGCCATGACAAAGATTTTACAGTTTAGTAGACAGCTCATGCAGGTATTCATAAGCAATTTTCTATTAAAAACAATAAAACAAGCTACTTATACTTTTAACACATTACCTTTCTGATAAAAGATTAATTTTATATTACTTCCAGACTAACAGTTTAGAATTGCAAAGCAGTTGCATTTTGTTTTCTTAACTAAGCTGTGTTATTTTAGAACAGGGCGTACTAATGTTTTATCGATTTTTTTTTTTTTTTAATTATTTTTAAAATATGAATTAGTTATTAGTCACTTAAAACAGACTGCATGAATTTATAGCTATTTAATTGTTTCAAGTAAGTTCTCCTGATTCAGTTCAACTGAAATTTGTGCTTCTCCTCTATTCCTTTTGGAAAGATTGAAAAGTAAAACTTTGAAGGTACAAGGAACTACTTCATACAATATTATACTACTTGTCCTAGAAGGTCAACGAAATTTATAAACCAATTATCAACCAATTTTATAAAATCCAAAAAAGTGTTAGAAACATTAATAATGAAGAGTTCTCTAGCAATTTTTAGAGAGCTTGTAACTGGTAAAATGCCCCTCATCTGCAAAGCATAAATCAGCAGCTGCTGAAACTCGGGGAAAAACCCTTCTCCTTGGGACAACTTATTAAAAAACTATCTGTTGCTTGGTGTCCTATGACCTTCCTCTGAAATTTGTAGAACAAACCATTGTTGGTGGCAGAATATCTGACAAGATGGACCTCTAGAGTTTTTTGTCTTCATAAAACACTGAGGGTACAGTGGTTTAGGGTATAGTTTCTGTGTCATCCTGACTTTCTTGGTTTTGTGTGGAAAGTTTGTTATTGGACTTTCTTCTGCTTCTTATCAGGTATAGTACCTAAATTGTAAGGTTCCCCGCACCCCAGAAGCTCAACTGTTTAAGATAAATGGAAAAGGAAGCATTCGGAGTACTTTGTCTAGTTGTGGGCTCCTCAGTATAAGATACTGACATACTGGGGTGAGTTCATAGGTGATGAGGGCTTGAGCACACGATGTACAAGGAGAGATGCTGAAAGAACTTGCTGTTTTAAGAGGAGAAGGCTCAGAAGGGGGAACTTATTGCTGTCTTCGCCTATTTAATGGAAGAATATAGAGAATACAGGGCCAGACTCCTCTTACAGCTGTGGGCTGAGAGGGCGAAGAGCAGTGGAACCAAGCAACAAGATAAATTCCTATTAAATATTAGGAAAATAATTCACAATGGGGTAGTTGAACTTGGGAAGAGTTTGCCCAGAGAGGTTATGGATATCAGTCCTTGGAGGTATGCAGAACTTTACCAGCCAAGACCTTAAGAAACTTGCCCTAAGATTGTCCTTGCTTTTTCTAGAGGTCCTTTCCAACCTATATACTCTTTTAGTCTAAGAATTGCCAGCCACTTATCTGCACCTTTCTCATGGGATACACGAATAATGTCTCCAAAAGAGATGTTTTAGCAACTGTACAAGTGCATGGTGGCTTCTCGTTGAACATCGTTTTAAACTACTCATTCATTGTAACTGCCGCTGTGAAGCTCTGGTCTATTGGATATCTTTCTATAGATAATGTATATTCTTGACAGAACCAAATACAAACTAACAGGTGTGTTTTGCACCTCTAGTTTAGAGGTGTTACTAACAGGTGAATCTTAGATAATGAAGTGCTAAGGAGACTAGCTGTCCAAATTACCTCTGCAAAAAAGATGCTATCCTTAAGAAAAATTAAAGGCCTGATGTTGTGTGTGATGGTGGAACTGTATTTTTGAGATAATTTTTCTTTGCTTGGTACCTTCAGAAATCAAAAAAATAGCATGTTGTATACTGGTTACACATTTACAGTAGTCTGGCGGTGGTGATGTGAGAATCCCTAAATTCTCACCACACAGAAGACAGACAGTAACTTTTGGATCCAAAATGCTCAAACTCTAAAATGCTGGAGCCTAGTTAGGTCAAATATGCATGGGCTAGTAATAATAAAGTTGCTGAAACACAGTGTATTTATATGGGTTGTGAATATTACACATTTGGTTGGTGTGAATGTGAAAGCTGATTATGCAGTTGACATCTTAAAGACTCTGCATTACCTTTGTAAGTGCGTAAATTGGTATTAACAGTCTCATCTAACATCTTTAAGAATTTTTAAACAATACCACTTTAGACAGCTACCCCTCCAAGTTCTCAGCAAAAAATCGGAAATATTAACAAAGGCATTAATGTTTAACAAAAATTGTCTATGTAGAACTCTGGAAGAGCAACTCTTAGAAGTCAGTGTGAAAGGAGAGTAAGTGCTAACATGGTGCTATTGAAATGCCTGTGAATGTTGCAGACTAGTACGTTAAGAGAAAGAAAATATTCTGAAACATACATTTCACGATTTGCTGATCCACAAGTGAAGGTTCTAATTCATTCTAAGTATCGCTGTTGTAGGTATAATATGGAAATAGCTGTGGCTTTTAAGTTTTAGTTTGGGTTTGCTTTCTCCTAACAGCAAACTATAAGCTAAATATAATTGATAAGCAAGAGGAAGACACAGATTGTGTTGGTGACTTTTTTTTTAATCTTTTATTTCTGATGGGGTAATTTTGGAGTGTGTAAGTAAGTAGTTACAGCCTTAACAATGTATCATAAACAACTGAAAGGGTCAGAAGTGAAGAACATCACCAGTAAGAAAATGATCATAAAGTAAACTTGCTTTGTTTAAGTGAAGGGTTTGAATTTGCATTTTTGATCTGCTAAATGTTTTTTGATTTTTCTTTATTGATATGGCAATAGAAATAACTACTGTATCACTGGTGTTTTAGATTTAATTCCACACAGAAGGAATACAAATTATTATTTTTATGACTGAGTTGAAATTCTCCGTTGCATTTTTTTGAGGGACAATGGTCTCATCTAATTACTGCAGATTGTGAGTGTTAGGATGTTTTAAGTCATTCTAAAAACATATCGTAGATACAGGTCTATGGGTAGGAAGAAGTAGCCTTCTTTTCAGCACAACTGAAAATCCAGAATAAAGTGTAAAATTTCATACCTAAGATGTGGCTGCTTGTATTCTAACCAGTGTTTTTTGACAATCCATAGGTCTTATTCCTACTACATTGAGGTGTCCATGGATGAGTTAGACTGGATTCGGGTTATTGATCACTCTAAATACCTCTGTCGGTCCTGGCAGAACCTGTATTTTCCTGCCCGTGTCTGCAGGTTAGTTCATCAATGAAATGTTGCATGGCTATCATTAAATAACGTAGACACCAGAATAAGTTGCTGGATTTTGCTACTGCATTGTATATTTCTGATAATGTATGCTATCTTAAAAAAAAAAATTGTCTATCTTGGTGGATGCTTTTTAAATATAAATATAGGTGTTACAATGCAGGCATCCTGTTTTGAAAACTGGTGCTTCCATCTCTGTGTTTCTCCTCTCCTCTCCTCTCCTCTCCTCTCCTCTCCTCTCCTTTCTTTTTGGGGGTTTTTGTTTTTTTTTTTGGCTTG